CCTCCCGCCCTTAACCTGCTGGCGGTTGGGGGCCCACATTACTCGGAGCGCGCGGACATGTCCCCCCCCCGGCACTGCGGGGGTGGAGGCGCGTGCGGAGGGCCAGAACTGACCCCGACCTGGACGGACGGTAGGGAGTGGACTGCGACAGGATGTAGATACCCACTATGGCCACGCTCAAACTCACCTACCTCAATGCCAACGGCCTCAATACCCCAACCAAGAGGCGATTATTGATGAGGGAACTCAAACGGCAACACACCGACCTTGCGTTTATGCAGGAGACGCACCTCGTGCGCTCAGCCCGCATTCAACTCACAGACCACGTATACACTAGAACATACTCCTCTCGGGGATTGACTAAGAAAAACAGGGTGGACATCCTAATACACAAAAGATGCCCGTTCGTGACGCAGAAGGTGCTAACGGACAGCGAGGGCAGATATATCATCCTCACGGGTACGATTCACAACGCCACTTACCATCTGATAAATCTATACGCGCCCAACCGCCCGGACCCTGTCTTCTGGGATCAACTCTATAACCGACTACACTCACTGCCACCTGGGATAATGGTCCTGGGGGGTGACTATAACTCCACACCCTGCCCAGCCATAGACCGCAGCGCCATACAGGTGGGTTCTGGGGCGAGGGAGGGAGGGAGACAAGACAAATTGTTGGCCAATTTCATCCAACGACTGAAGCTACTAGACCCCTGGAGACTGCAACACCCTGGAGTCAGAGACTACACATTCCACTCGGCGGCTCACTTGACATACTCTCGCATAGACATGTTCCTAGTTAATCAAGGAGGGATCCAGTGGATCCAGTCCACACGAATAAACCTTATAACATGGTCCGACCACGCGGACGTGGAACTCACACTGCGACTGCCGGGTCCTAGCACTCCATGGAAATGGAGGCTTAGGGACGCGCTCCTCAAGGACCCCGAGGTCATGCACCAAGTGCAGGAGGAACTGACAGCTTATTTCGCCACGAACGACACGCCTGAGGTGTCCCAGTCCACGTTATGGGCCGCCCATAAGGCGGTGCTAAGGGGGACCCTAATTAAAATAGCAACTAGACGTAAGAGACTGAGAGCGGAGACCCTCTTCGCACTCCAGAAAGAACTGCGACGGGCGGAAACCAAACACAAACAGGCGCCCACGGATCAGGGTCTCAAAGCGCTCAGGGACCTGCGTCACAAGATTCGAAGTATGGCCATCGAAGATCTAGGTAGAGAGCTGGTTCGTAAAAGGCGCCTTTTTTACGAACGGTCGAACAAAATGGACACCCTGTTGGCTAGGGTTCTGACCCCTAAATCGAAATTTCACGCCATACCGGCGCTCCAGGATGGGGGAGGAAGGGTAACACACGATCCAGTGGAGATCAACCAGCTCTTCACCGCGTTTTTCTCTAAGATTTATAACCACTCCCCGGAGTTACACGGGAAGAATGAGGCATACGACCTGGCAGTGAGGGAGTTTGTCACCAAAACTAACATACCCAAGCCCGCCCCCGAGGCCATGTCTTCGCTGGGACTGCCGATAATGGAGGAGGAAATCGATAGGGCGATCACAGCATTAAAAGGGAACAAGGCCCCGGGACCGGACGGTTTCGGGGGCTCCTACTACAAAGCCCTAAGGGAGACACTCACTCCCCGGCTTGCACAGGTATTCGCGGCATGGATGGAAGGCCGGCCGCCAAACCCAGACACGCTTACGGCAGATATAACACTAATTCCAAAACCAGGGAAGGACCCGACCGTAGTTGCCAACTTCTGTCCCATCTCCCTAATCAACTTCGACGTCAAGGTTTTCGTGAAGATATTGTCGACTCGGTTAAACCCCTTGCTGATGACCCTGATACACGCCGACCAGGTCGGATTCGTACCAACGAGACAATTATACGAGAACATGAGGAGGGGCGCAGATATTATTTGGTGGGCGAACAGAACCAAGACGCCTTCTCTGATCCTGTCATTGGACGCGGAGAAGGCGTTCGACAGGATACTGTGGCACTACATCTTCACCTTATTGAAACACTTGCAAATGCCAGAGCCCTTTGTTCGAGGGATAGAAACCCTCTATGCAAACCCTAGAGCGCAGACGATGGTGCCGGGGGCACACCCTACCCCCTTCCGACCCCACAACGGTACCAGACAGGGTTGTCCCTTGTCCCCCCTGCTGTTCATCATCGCATTAGAACCCCTACTTCATCAAATACGCGGGGAGGTAGGCGTTGCGGGGATTCGGGTCGGAGAGGACGAGTATAAAGTCTCCGCATATGCGGACGACATGCTGATTACGATGTCCTCTCCTGGTCAATCGCTCCCCCGACTCCTGTCGCTCTTAGACGACTACGCGTATGTCTCGGGATATAAAATCAATATGGGAAAATCAGTGGCAATGCTACTAGGCATGGACCCGAGGGACATTGAACCGCACATCGGATTACCATTGCGAAAACCAACATAAAATACCTGGGTGTCACGCTCACAGCGGACACGGATGGCCTATATGCCGCGAACTACGGCCCTAAGATACAATCATTGTGCCGCGATCTAGAAATGTGGCAAGAAAAGCCATTTTCCTGGATAGGCAGACTCCACGCTATTAAGATGACGCTCCTTCCCCGCTTGCTATTTTTGTTCCAGGCTTTGCCTGTAAATGTTACCAAGTCAGACCTCAGTTCACTGCAACGGGACATTGACAAGTTTATCTGGGCTCACAAACGCCATCGTGTGGCCAGGGAGGTGATGTACCGGCCAAAAACCAGGGGGGGACTGGGTCTCCCGAGTCTCTACTGTTATTACCTGGCGGCGCAGTTGGCCCAGGGGGTGGCGTGGCACTCCCGGGCGGGCTCCCATAGGTGGGCGGACCTAGAATCACGCCTGATGTGCACGGACCTACCACAATTTTGGATCTGGGTACCCAAAAAAGATAGACCACCCATTCGCACTACGTGCCCGACAATACTTAACACAATCCGAATTTGGGACCTCACAGCAGACAAATACATTCTCAAACACACCCCATCTCTGATGACCCCATACCTCCACAACAGGGCATTCCTGCCGGGACTGAGCGCGCGAGATTTCCGGGGTATCGAGAACACGGGGGTACAGAGATACGTCCATCTATACGATAAGGGGAAATTCAAAACGTTTGAACACCTGAAAACCCTAGCCACCCTGACCACGAAAGACGTATTCCGTTATATCCAGCTTAAGGACTTCGCCAACGGCCCAGAGATCAAACAGGCAGCACACACACCCATGACGTTTTTTGAACGACTGTGCAACGCCGAGACCGAACAGAAAGGACTGATCACACTTCTCTACGCACACCTCAGTGCCCCAGGCAGAAACACCCCGGACCCCAGATACATTAGACAGTGGGAGACTGATCAGGGTGGCGCGTTGGAGGGTGAGGACTGGGTGGATATATGGGAGGCGGCTGCAAAGTCGTCGATCTGTGTTCTCCACCAGAAACAATCATATAAAATGTTAATGAGATGGTATACCACACCAGTACAATTATACAGAATGGGGCAAACCACAACAGACACGTGCTGGAAGGGATGCGGACATAAGGGCACTTTTGTGCATATGTGGTGGGAATGCCCAGTCATAGGCAGGTATTGGAAACAAGTACAGACTTTATTAACGGACGTCCTGGGTAGACAGGTGGAAATGGACCCTTGGTCCATCTTGCTATCTAGGCCGATAGATGGCCAACCCAGACACGAACAACTCCTATTCAACAAAATCACCCTGGCGGCCAGACGGGCACTAGCCCAGGCGTGGCGGACACCCTCAGTCCTGACAAATACCGACGTCATCTTGAAAATTAAGACACTTACTTAATGGACAAACTCACTGCCCAAATAAGAAACACGGAAACGAAGTTCCACAAAGTCTGGCAACCATGGGAGGCATACATAGGTGACTAGGACATACAGCACTTGACGAGAGCGAGAGACAGTGGCGGATCCAGGGGGGGGGCAACGGGGCAATTGCCCCCCCCCCGAGAAATCCGCCGGTCTCCCTCTCCCTCCCCTACCAGCAGCACATGCAGGTGCCAGCCCTGCAATGTGCCTGCGGACCGGAGAGGAGATCACAGATCTCCCTCCCCGGTCCGCAGGCACTGTGCTGGCAGCCGGCAGGGGAGGGAGAGGGAGGACCCGGAGCTCAGGCTGTGGCTCCTCCGGGTCCTCCTCTCGCGAGATTTGGAGCGTTACCACGGCAACACTCCAAATCTCGCGAGAGTGAACTCTAGCCCGGGAGCGCGGGCTAGAGTTCACTGTCCCCACTGGGACCACCAATGAATCCCCCACTGGGACCACCAGGGAAATGTCCCCCCTCCCCCCAGTAAAGGTAAGAAGGGGAGGGGGGACATAATGATTATTTATATTAAACTAAATTAAAAAAATATATATTTTAAAAAAAAGCCCCCCTACCCTTATCACACACACACTGATCCCCATACTGCCCCCCATACACCCATACTGCCCCCCATACTGTCCCCCCATACACCCATACTGCCCCCCATACACAC